ATGCATGGGCTGAAAATCAACCAATTTTATGAAGAGTGTGATATTTGGAGTTGAGCTCTGACCACAAGGTCATACTTTGTTTTCAAAAATAACTTTATCATGACAACTGTGATCATGAATACTCTCAGCATAAGGTGAGCAATGTCTGTGGGCAGAGGAAAAAAGCAGGCTTTCACAGACATGTATTTCTACTTGTGAAACACAGAGGAATCAGATGAGTGAAAGAGAGAGAGGGTCTTACATATTTGCTTCACATAAGGCCCTACACAGGCTTGATTGATGGAGACACAGATGTGGAAGAGGAGCAGCTGTTTGCTGCTCTCAGGTGTAATTAAGAAAGGACTCGGTCACACAGAAAGGCCCCGGGAGGCCCAATGGAGCGCAGAGGAATCAGCACGCCTCAGAGAACAGCAAGATCCAGCAGCAGGCTTCCTTCGGCTTGTTACAGTGAGAGACTTTAAATGGATCAGCTTAATTGTCGAGGCATCTCTCAGACCATCTGTGTGTGTGGGAGGGCGTGTTTGAGCTGCGAGTGCGTGTCTGTCTCTGTCTGTGTTGCATGCGTGTTTGAGTTTAAGCAAACTGTGAGCCATCGCAGTGACAGAGCAGAACTAAAGTTAGAAAAATAATCAATGAAATCAGCCAGGAAATTGTGTTTAGACAAGTTGTTACTCGGAGTCTCTTGTGTTCACTTGGGCTCATACAACTTCAGCAGAACACACCGAGATGTGTGACTAGACTCCCAATTTGAAGATTATCTAAGTTTTCTCTCTCTCTCACACACACACACACATACACACTAGTCAATTTCTCAAAGCAATGAAACAATCAAAATCACAGCCTGCGGATGTTAGCATGATCCCTTCTTGGCTATCCCCCTCGCCCCCAGCCTCCACCCCTCCCAGGGCACCTCTTTCTGTCCGATCAGGAGGCCATGTTCTGTAGAATCAGCACGTCTGCTCAGTCCTCCCTGGCGGCTGCCAGGCTGAGCCTGCTGTGGCCCGATCTGCTGTAATTTGCCAGGCCCATTACTCCCACAAATGTGATGGCTGTGAGTCCTGTGAGTGTGAAACAGTTGGTGGGATAAAGAGCAGGAGAGATAGAAAGAGAAAGAGAGAGAGCAGGGTACCTTGCTATTGCTGCCGTCCAGCCACAGTGCCTGAGAGCGTGTGATGCGTCGTGCTAATGGTGCCAATTATGCAGCAGAGAGCACTGCTGATGGGCTGGTTTAAGAGCGAAAGTGCAGAGGAAAAAACTGTTGCAGAGGGAGGCTTTTGGCTCCAGAAACAAACCAGAAAAAAAACAGAAAACAGACAGGAGGGAGACAAGCCTCTTGGGGCTTTTCTTTCCTAATAGCAGTCTGCTCGCTACCCAGACATGTGGAGGTGTCTGGTTGGACTGCAGCCATGAAGGAATTTATGTCTGTTATTTTCAGAGGGGCAATCCGAGCGAGACCAGGACCAATCAAACGCTCTCAATAAAACTGACTTCCCTCTTGAAGTCTCAAAGGCTTTCAGTAGGTTTGATTTGAAGTCTATAACCTAGAAACTAGTGGGCGTGAGGCTGAGATGTTGTGATACTCGTTCTCTGTCAGATTGTAAAACTTCATCTCCCCTGTGTGATGAAACTGTGGGAGAGCAGAAAGTCCATCAGCCGCGATTGTGCTCAATGTGTGATGTTTACAAGCAAAAGGTAATTTAACTGCCTTTTTATGAGTTGGTGTGAAGCATCATAAGGGAACATTCTGTGACGAGAATCTTCTTGCAAGTAAAAAGAGCAACAGGCTAGACTAGAAAATTCTGACTCATGTAATTGGCTATTCAGGTGAAAGAGTCATCTACGAAAGTCTTGATGGGTGCCAAGAGACAACGTTAAAGCCAGGAAAAAGTTTTAATTTCATTGAATGGCACTGAGCTATCAGCATGCATACAGCAGATGATTACAATAATTTTTTTTTAACACAGCAAAGTTCACCAACACAACAGCAGAGCCGACTTGTTCACTCGTGCAGATTAAATAAAAAAAATGGGAGATCTCGGTAGACAGGGGAGTGAAAATGAGACCATCTATATTCAAGAGATCTCTCGTTCAAAAACAATCACACAGACGTGCATCGTGAATGCAAGCCAGCACAGCCACACCTTTGATGCACAGATGGTGTGTGTAAACTTTCTCATTCTCCCTCCTACTCTTCCTCTCCTCCTCTCTGCTATAATCTCTCGCTCTCATGTCCCACATTCTTCTTTCCTCTCATCTCGTGTGTCACTCAAAGGATTCCTCTCACTCTGCCAGCAGCGAAGCACCTCGACTTGCAACCCTAAATTTAATAAATGAAGCCTTTGTGAAATTGGCAAGCAGGGTGGGAACACCACGGCTAGGTAAATGTTATCTGAAAGATTTGCTTTATAAAAACGGTCCGCTCCCTCTGTAATTTGGAGTTTTCATAGAAAACAGCCAGCGACAGCATTGTCTTCGGGACAAACTTATGCCAGATGAACCTTGTCTCCCTAAATGGCAGAACACAAACACTGAACTGACGCAAGGCTGGTCAGTAGATCAGTGGGCTTCGGTATAACAAGCAATCAAACAGACTGAGACACAAGTCTGATTGGGGTCAGCATCTGTGAATTCAATCATAAACTCCCATTAACAGTCAGGAAATATCAGGCAAAAAGAAAAACCCTCTGTAAAAAGAATGATGAAAAATGAGAGCAGAAATTACATAAAAAGTCCCACTCTGTATATTTTTCAGTGATTTCATTACTGAGTTAAATAGTTTGGCATTTTGGGAAATATGCATTCACTCTCTCTGGAGTATACCGATAACCACTCTAAAGTCTGAAGCTGCAGCCAGCAGTCAGCTAACCTTAGCATGGAGATAAAAAAACACATATTGCATAACCCCCTGTGAAAACACAACTTGTAATAGTTAATTCCCTCTGTCTTTGTGCTAAGCTAAGCTAACGTGCTTGCCAGCATTGAGACTGCAGCAGGGTAGAACAGCTACCCTGGCTCTGTCTTTTCACCGGCTGTAGCCATATTTACCCATGGTATCGATCTTCTCATCTAACTCTCAGCAAGAAAGCAAATAAACGTATTTACCAAAATGTCAAAATTCTTCCTTTAAATTAAGTAAGTGTGTCCACGTGATGTTATTACTGTCAAAGCCACAATACATTTGGAAAAGTTCTTCGACGTTGGCAATGCAATACCAGTGATAAATAGAGAAAGTGTGCTGGTGTGCTCTGTGCTGGTTGTTTGCTGAATTAAATTTAGCTGTCTCTGCTGGCATAGTAGTGGGTGCAATGAGATTTCTTTTCACCTGCTTATTACACTTATAGCGAGGGAGGGCTGAATAAAGGGGCTGCTTTTTTTTCACTCCGTCAAATGAGACCGAGTGTATAAAAACACTAGCTTTCCTCCACAGGCAAAACTCCTCCGTTAGATAACTTTTGTGGGACCTGCTTTCCCTTGTGACAAGCTGACTGACAGATAATCTGACAGACGGAAACGCGTCTTTAAAAGAAAGTGGAAGGTGTAGATGTTGCCAAGCAAACCCAGATATAGAAAATCAGTCAGTGAGCTAAGGAGACAAGGTTATCCCGAACAGTAGAGAGATTTCAGCTGAGCATTTCCATCCACTTTATGATGAAAGACTGCTGTCATGTTAAAGATCAGATATGGGCTGGATCATAGAGATATTTGGAAGAAAGAGTGCAGATTGGTGAGGCATTTGTTAAGAGCCGGATAACTCTGGAAAAGAAAAATGAAAGGCACTCCAAATCTCTAATGCACATCTGATTGTGTGCGCTTTGCATGTGTGCGTGGAGAGAAGCAAGTGTGGGTATAACTAAACAGGGAGGCCTATGGAGGATTCAGCTCTCGCTCACGGAAAATTCAACTTTTTCTTATTGCCTGTTTCAAATCTCACCAAGAAGATGTGGGGGCGTTTGGCTGCTCAGAGCCGGGAGAATCGATGCTGTAGGCAGGCAGAGCGAGGGATCAGCGCAGAGAGGTGCGGAGGACAGGACACTCTTGTATCACTCACCAGTCGTTCTTGGCAGCTTGTCGTCCTTCATGTGTGCTTGTACAGTGAGCCGGTAATGTCCCCCAGCCCCGTATCACCAAAAAAGCTTGTTCTGTATCTGTGTAGGTAGACTTCCAGCCCCTCCAGTTCCCATTTCTGATATCATTTCTGCCTGCTTTGCTTTGGTGTGTTTAGTTGTACTGCCTGAAAGGTTTAAACACAGGCAAGATATGAGCAGAAAAGTTGGAGCAACTAATCTCCCGCTGATAGAAGGTTTAAGGCAATTCCTCCAACAGCAGAAATTATGCAAGCAAGAAGTGAGAGGCAGCAGAGACATTATTAACATTATATCACCAATCTCTCTGTGAATCACAGTAAAGACAAACTTTAGCCAGTGTGACTCTGCCTCAGCGGGAGATAAATCTGAAAGACGGCAAACAGAATCGACCCCCATTCACAGGAGTAATGGAGCTGTCACTGGCTAAATCTGACCCCACGGTAACCCCCCCGGGGGCAGTGATATGGCACCCATCCCTTCACACCGGGGAGTCAGCAGCAGAGTGAGGATGAGGGGGGCCACATCCGATGATAACAGTCCATACTGGAATGAGGAAAAATAGAGGTCATTGTGCCACTGTAATTTCGTGGGAGAGGTATGTTTGTGTGGTGGTGCTCCATTTGAGGTATAGTGAGCATCCCTGCAGAGAGCATGACAGTGACAAAGAAGGAGCAATGACACTCTGATGTTCATGGTGGGATGCTGAAGTGATTGTTGATGCCTGGGTGGAGATGATGAAACCTGCCTCCATGAAATATGGGAGATTTCTGAGCGTGCAAACAAATTAGATCATGATGGCAAACAGAAACAGGATCACATTTTAGCTGCACTTAGTGATATCTCACTGTGGAGGTTTCTGCCTGTTAAGATCACAAGACGTAATGAAACGTACCCTACGGCATCAAAGCGTAATGCACGGCAAGGCAATCTTGCATCCAATCTAGAGACTCCGCTCCAGTAGCCTGTGTGGTCTCTGGAGGGGTTAGACATGCCTCCTCACTCAGCCTCTCGCCGCTCTCCACCCATGGCGCATCTCCAGCTCTGAATCCACTTCGGCTCTGGACACCGGCGGCAGCGCTCGATCCATCCATCCTCCGCACGCACGCACACACACACACTCACACACACTTACAAATGCAGCGCAGAGGACTGGACCGACTGGAGAAATCCCATCTGATCGAGTGCGTTGATGGTAAGGCAACCTTTTATTTTCCGCTGTGCATTTTACGCGCAGCGAGCCGCAGCCGAACTGTTAAATAACAAACAAGATGCTCTAATCTGACATAGAGTAGCACCATATTGAGGAAATGAGGAGTAAATATGCCAATTATTTCTCCACAGCGACTTAAAGTGCGTCCGAGGTGCTCAATAGTGAGTTTATAGTGGTGTGGTCTTACTTTGTGTGTTTTACTTCACATGGGTTTATGTAGTAATGCTATCCGATTATTTTAATAATCTAACATTTATTAAAAGAATACAACAGTTGAGTTTAAAATGAAAACCCGAGGGGGGAGGGCTCTAGACTGAGTTTATATTATATTATTACACTGTATTATATGTATTATGTTATTTTAAGTCTTTTCATATGTACATTTATGCTCTTAATCACTAAAACTTGTACTACATGAAGATGCAGATTGACCTCATGAATTGCAGTTATTTTCTTCTTAATCCACCTATTTTATCATCAATTCCTTAATTTCATCATCACTAAACTTTACATAATTTTTTCACTTCACTTCCATTTAATTTAACACTGAAACAACCCCCACTCACCTATCTTCGTCTCTGTTTGTGAATGAACCACTCAGTGTGAACTACTTACAGTCAGCATCCCCATAAGGGAAATATATTCACCACGGACAAAATCAGATGAGGAGTTGACCTTTTTTTTCTTTCGTCATCCTTCTTTCCTCCAGTCTCAGTGCCTTTGCTCCACATGTTTGTGTGCAAGAGGAATCATGTAGGACACGATTCATCCTTTCTCATATCACAGAGCTCCTCTCCGTAGCCCGGGGTCAGATGCAGCTCCTCTGTGCGCTGCAGCGCTCTGCTCTCTGCCTGTGGTACTGTGTGTGTGTGTGTGTGTGTGTGTGTGTGTGTGTGTGTGTGTGTGTCTGTCTGTCTGTGTGTGTGTCTGTGTGTGTGGTGTTGTTTTAGAGAGACACAGAGAAGGGAAAGGATGCACAGATAGATGGAGAACAGAGCGATAAAGACTAACTAGAGACTTGAAGCTCCTCCTGGTGTTGCACTGTTGCTCAGCTCTCTGTGTTTTCCAGGATTGATTAGCTGGCTTTGCCAATCAACAGCCTCACTCAGAGGATCTGTGAACACACCGTGGTGCCTTAATAGAAAAATCTTTGGCACTGTCACATCCCTCAATCACTTGCATCCCAAATCCCTCAGTCCCATCCTCATCACTAACTTCTAACCTCATTTGTTGCCTTTATTTTCCACAGTGGCAATTGCCTTTCCTGCACCATGCACAAATGTCATTATCTCCAACACTTTTGCTGCTAGCTATGTTATCTCGGCAGCAGCAACGCCTGTGCTCACTAAATTTACAACTCAAACCTGCCAGAGGAGCGTGCACCGCACAGTGTAATCTTTGGTTGATCCTGTCCCCGAGGCTTTTATCCCCTGTAAGCACTGTTATTGTATGAGGGATACAAAAGCTGAGACCATCTGAAGCTTGAAGTCCCCTTCCAGCTGTTGACAGAGTGTCTATTATTCCTGGTGTGAGTCCCGGTGTGGGAGGACTTATAAGCCAGGGAGAAAGGAGGACTTGCAAATCAAATTGCTTTAATCCATTGAAGCATCTGTCTTCATTCTCCACAGGGCAGCAGGGTGTGTAGCAGAGGGGCTCTGAGCCCTGATCATGACTGGAAAGGAAAACAAAACCTGTCGCAGAGGAATCATATGATGTGCCTCGGTCAGCCAGCTGTGCAGTACATAGGGTGTAGATAGCAGGACTGTCAAATTCACAGATTTTTTCCATGTTTTCTTAAGTGTCAGAGATGGTAAGAAGCTTGGTCAAAAGTTTCTCATTATTTGCAGTCATTCATGCTTATATTTCTCTGCTTTTTCATCCGTCTCTCCTGTCCTTCAACAAACACACAAACAGAACAAGCAGCTTTAAAGCTGTTCTGAAACAAGAAACAAACCGTAGTGTTTCCATTTCTGTCATTCTGTCTGCAACTACCAGTCTAAGAAACAAAGTTTCTCCCCCTGTTGAGTTCATTCTGCGATTGCTGTTTTTAGCTGTATTCAAACAGAATGGCTCATGATGTCAGCTCGATTTCTTTTCCCGTCACCCACAGAGTAAATGTCTTTGGTTTTGCGCTGTTTGTGATTAATGGAACATCAAAAGCCGATCTCAGCTCAGTGTGATGCATTCCTGAGGACATGAGTCTGCCAGGGACACATAAACATCATTAATGAACAAGAGGCAGACTGGAGAGAGACAGAGTGACAGAAAGAGGGTGAGGAAGCAAACTGGAAGGCAATATTTATTTTTGTCAGTAATATGATGTATATTTACCTGTGGCTTTGATGATGATTGCCTCCACTCGGCCACTTTGAGTGATGGAGACACAGTTTGCGCCCAGGCATGTCATGTGATTACCTACCATCCATTTGGTGCATAGGTACAAATGGATGGCAGCACCTTTTTTTTCGAAAATCCATTTCGAAAATCGCATCTCCCTTTGCTCTTTCATGCCCAGTGGCAAAGAACTCAGAAGTGTACAAAGGAAACTTCTCCACTCATGTATGTGAATAGCTATATTTATCTGGGTATGTAGTTCTCTGCTGGGCTTAGGGCTTAATTACCCAGAAGAGAGGAAGCAAAATTGAAATGCAATTATGCAACTGAGTACCTGCTATCCTGAATAGTGGAGTTGCAGATAGGGACATTACCGCTACCATTTCCCAGTGAAGGTCTAACCTGAGTCGTGTTTTTCTGCAGAACAAATCTGTGAATCCTTTAGGAGACAAATCCCAAACCTTTAAACTGTTTATTCAAAGTGTTTAAGCTACTTATGTTAGAAATGCTAAAAGGTGCTGTCTGTTTGCTCTGCTTGGAGAGAGAGAACTAACTTTTCTTGAATATGTATTTCTTAAGCAACACTGCATATGTGATTTGAAGGAATAGTTTTTGGTAAATACTCTCCTTTACTTCCTTGCTAATTTGAAAACTACAAGCTGCAGCTGGTTAGCTTAGCTTAGCACAAAGACTGGGAACAAGGAGAAACAGCTAGCCTGGTCTGAAGTTAAACCTTGTTTGTTTAAACCTGCACCAACCAAATTGGCATTTTTACATCTTCAATGCTACCTTTAGTCAAAACCAGGCCAATTGTTTCCCCCTTATGCACAGCTAAGCGAACTGGCTGCTGCCTTTATAGCTTCATATTTAATGTAGAGACATAAGAGCGGTACCAATCTACTCATCTCGCAGGTTCTTGTCGTTCCTGGTGGAGCCTCCTGCCATGGTCCTGCTAGATTGCCATTGCCAATACTGTTGTTGCTGTGCACCTGTCTGTCTGTCTCTCTCTCTCTCTCTCTCTCTGTCTCTCTCTCTCTCTCTCTCACCCCAACTGGTCGCGACAGACGACCGCCCACCTAGAGCCGGAGGATCTGTCCTAGGTTTCTGCCTTTTAACAGGCAGTTTTTCCTTGACCTTGTCGCCAAGTGCTTGCTCATGGTGGTACTGTTGGGTTAATGTTTTAAAGAGTTCGGTCTAGACCTGCTCTATTTGAAAAGTGTCCTGAGATAACTTCTGTTATGAATTGGCGCTATACAAATAAAATTGAATTGAATTGAATTGAATTGAATTGAATCTAACTCTTGGGAAGAAAACAAATACACTTATTTACCAAGATGTTGAACTATTCCTTTATTAACTCAAATTACTGTTTTACATCTCTGGAAAAATGCTCTTACACAAATTGTAGGACAAAGGTTCACATATTGAACAGGCAGGGGAAATCTGGATGGGAAATGTTAATTGTGATGTTACTATTTCACCCTCTACTGTTGAAGTGCCCTTGAGCAAGAATCATCCCTGCTAAAGCAAGAGCTGCTCATTGGCCATCAGTGGAGAGCTGCGGGTGTAAAATGAGTGGGAGCGACACATGTATGAAGCTGGAAAAATGCATCAAAATGAAATCTCATTGTGTCCCTGTGCCTCCCTGGCAGCGTCAGCGTGAAGGATGTAGAGCCAGAGGGGGGGGCAGGATGGAGTGCTCCTGGAAGACGGTGTTGCTGCTGGTGTGTGCGTCTCTGGGGGTCCAGTACACGGCCATCCGCACCCTGAGGGACTCGCTGTCTGGACCCTGTCAGGGAGCCTACCGCTGCCAGACGAGACATTACAGAGGTAGCCAAGTCAAGACTGTCCCACATATTGTTCTACTTCGCTACAAGACAGCATAAAGGGTGTATCGCTGTTGGCGTGTATAGATATATGCTCATATTTATTGCAAAAATAACATAAGTAACATAAAAGGTATGTATTGTTACAGACCAGCAGAGGACACATACAAACACACGGAACACTTGATTGGTAATATAAGTAACGTTAATAATATTACCTTACTTTTAGCAGTTTGAAGGAAAGCTTCATGCAAAGATATTCAGCAAAGAAAGACGCATCATCAAAACTGTGACTGAAGTAAAAGAAAAAGGAAAGCAGATCATTAAATGAGGGAATTCCCAAGAAGTGGGGAGGATAGAGAAATGAAATATCTGTGATTCGCTTTACAATTATCCTCCAATTTATCTCCATTAATCCCCTCTCATAGCGCAGCTGTAGCTTCCCGGCGCTGAGCTCCTGTATACAAAAGTAACGTCCCCTTTGCAATCAACTCCTCATCAGCAGTAATTACACGTTAGCTATTTGCGCTATATTTAGAGATCCGCCATTTCATAAACCCCCTTGGTAACCACCGGCAGACAAGCAACTTACTCATGCGTGTTTACCCTCTAAATTATTTAAGCTTTATTGGCTTTATTCAGCCATTTACTTTCTCCTGGCTTGAAGTTATGACGAAAACAGACTCACTTTCACTCTTACGAACTGCAGTAACTCTTCTGAAATAACCCCTCTTTTAAATGAACAGGTAAAACAGATTGTGTCATTTTTCAAAGCTGTAATTTAGCCCATTGTAAGAGGCCTTGATGCAGCTGATGTCATTATTATATAAGTTAAAAAACACATGACTTTGTTGTTTCTTTCTTGAAGACTCCAGGTGGAGAGCCTTGTGTGATGACAGTTGGATGCCTGTCGAGTTGCCTCGGAAGCACATCCTGCTGTTTGCCACGACACGCAGCGGCTCCTCCTTCACCGGGCAGCTCCTCAACCAGCACCCAGGGATCTTCTATGTGTTTGAACCTCTCTACCACGTCCAGCAAGCCTTCACTAACTCCAGCAGCCGGCTGCGTCGCACCCTGGACCGCCGGGCCTTACTGGGAGCATACAGGGACCTCCTCCTCAACCTGTACACCTGCGACCTTCACTTCATTGAGAATTACATCCGTCCAGAGCCCCAGGACCACGTCACAAGCTCCTTCTTTCGCCGAAGCTCCAGCCACGCCCTCTGTTCCCCTCCCGTGTGCTTGGAAGGAGGGGATGGAGCGGCCTCTGATCCACCTGATGAAACCTGGTGTCCTAAGAAGTGTGGGGCCTTGAACCTCACCCTAGCCTCTATGTCATGTCTGTCAAGGGGACACATAGCCATAAAGACTGTGCGAGTCCCTGAGGTGGGGGACCTACGCACCCTGACAGAAGATCCGCGTCTGGACCTGAAGATCATCCACCTGGTGAGAGACCCCAGAGCCATCCTCGCCTCACGCATTATGGCGTTCTCTGATCAGTTCCGGGCTTGGAAAATATGGAACGCGACAGGAAGGCAGCCTCGCTACGTGGACTTGTCTCAGATCACCAGCACCTGTAAGGACATGGCGGCCTCTGCAGAAACTAGCCTGCAAAGACCGGCATGGCTGCGGGGGCGCTACCTGCTGGTGCGGTATGAGGACCTGGCTTTCAATCCGAAAGACAAGGCCAATGAGATCTACAGGTTTGTGGGGCTGGAGATGGAGGACAGGGTGCGGATGTGGATTGCAAAGAACACCAACAGTAACGTGTCATCTCCGTCTGAGTGGAACTACAGGTACTCCACCACCAGAGACTCCAGAGCGACAGCCGAGAGCTGGAGGCTTCGTCTCGGCTTTGACATCGTGAGGACTGTGCAGAATCTGTGCAATGACACTCTGGCTCTGCTGGGATACAAACAGGTTCACTCTGCAGCTGAACTCAGAAACTTGTCCCATAGTTTAGTGGAACACAGGACCTTTCAGCCAGTCACATAGTAGATTTGATTAAAAGTTTAAAAACATCTTACTGTTATTTATTTCTGCTGACTTTCCTCTCTGTCATGATGCTGATGAAATGAATGTAATTTATTTTACTTTTGAATAATGCCTAAAGTAATTTAATATCAGTTGACTTTTCACTTTTTATGGTTTTGTTAAAGATATTAAAAGTGCCAAATTCCGAGGATGTGTAACGCTGGAAAGGGTATTAATCCAAAATAAAGTCTATACTGCTGTATGTGCTAATTGAAAACTCGTCTTGACTTATATGTTGATGTGATTAAGTTATTATGCTTTTTTTTTTCACGATTCAGTGTTCTCATATTTTCAGTGTTAGCAGAGATTAAACGAGAAAAACAGACACTTTAAAGAGTCCAGGTACCATTTAAGAGGAAATCTGACCTTAAGTCAGACAAAAATGTTCCTGAAGGTGAGACGCAGGAAGAGAGGGGGAAGAAAATCCAGAAATGATAGGGCTTGCCTTCCAAGTGTTGCTAATGCATTTTGGGAAAGGATTAAAATGTCACTGGTGCAATCTTCTGCAACTGTGAAAATGTCGTGAATATGAGAATAATATATTTGTTTTTTCTTTACTATAAATACTTAAATCCTGTAAATACTGATTAACTGTTGCAATGCAAGTGCAAGTGTTATGTGCTGGGTGTGTTTGGACATTTTTGTCAGTGTAATACTGTTTATATTTTTTAAGACTTTTTAAAATAAATTATTCATATGTAAGTAATACATATCTACCATGCAGCTGAAATCTTCTTGCAACCATTTGTTTGATGTGGGTTTTTTTTTATTTCTTCAAACCTGAGGAAAGTGGATAAGTGCTTGAGTTTTAGTGCTGAAAACAGTGCAAATTCCTTGTCTTTTATCTTGTAATCCCCCTGTAGTTTTAGTTTTAGGTTTGTCTTTCAGCCAAATTTCAATCCTGCTGTGTCTGTCACAGATATGTTTCTCACCCAAAAGAACACTGCATGTTCTGTGTTTCATTTTGAGTTAACTTTGAACCTAAAAAGAATAATACCAGGATCATTCAGCGGTACCAGCTGCCTGCAGTAGGATATAGTCAGAGATGAGACAGCTGCAGGTTGTCTGCCAGTTCCACCATTTGAAGTCGGTCTTTGTTTCTAAATAGAGAAAGAAAGTGTGCCATCTACAGACACCAGTCCCTTTATTTCCATGTTGTGCTGCTCTCTTGAGATAAATGCTGGAAGTAGTTTGTGAGAAAGAACTCATTGCATGAATCATAGCTGAACCACTGATTGACTGCTATTTTCTTGCCTTCCAAAGGCTAGCATTACATTTCCTATGGAAGCTGCAATTGGAGCCCACTGGGAGCTATGAGCTTGAATGCTTATGCCATCGAAGAAAGCCACTTCAGAGTGCAGGAAAGTATGCAATTTCAGTGGAACGGCCATGCAGTTCTGTGAACACTATTAAATCTGAGGTGAAATTGTCCCTTTGATAATGTATTTTTAGACACCCAGTCCTTCCTATCCTTCCTGTAGCTGCCCTATTGCTGCTGACACCAGGGATATCTGAGCGCAGCCCAAAGAATTGATCTTCAGATCCAGCTAAGGAGAAACAGGATTTAAGATGCATGGAGAAAAGAGTGGCCGTCTTTCTTTGAACTTAATCTGCAAGGCTACACAAACTGGCCATAAAGCAAAGCCTTATGACACCCGAGGAGATGCGTTTCATTGGTTTTTCCATCTCCACCCTGACACACAAAGCTGCAAGTGGCCTGAGTCAGCCGTCAGCTAATTACCCATTTCTTTGCACTCAATACCGCCAACCCCTTTTCTGTCTCCTTAACTGTGCTGACAAATTTAGGTCTTATCAATACTGGTAACCAGAATGAGGTGCATGCTGACATTGGGAAATGCAAAAAAGCACACTGTTAATCTACCACTGGTATTTTGATAGTACCCCTTCATTGACACCACTATTTATTACCATTATTCATTACTTTTAGATAATTATAAGATAATTGTGACCTAATTGTGAATTTAGCTAACTGTTTCAGCTGTTTATCCATCCCTTTAAGCTAGTTATTTACCTTTAGCTATCTATTTTAACCATGCATCTATGTTAAAGGTCCAGTGTGTAAGATTTAGGGGAATCTATTGGCTGAAATTGAATATAATATTTAATTAGTGTATAATTACCTGAGTAATAAGAATTGTGTTTTTGTTATCTTAGAAAGAACGAGAACTATCTACTCTATGGAGACTGCCATGTTGCATCACCATGTTTCTACAGTAGCCCAGAATGGACAGAATGTAGGCTATGTACATTTCCCTAAAATCTGAGCTTTAAATGCACACTGCCAATGCCACTGACAAAGAAACCTGAGACCTCCAGCGCACAGAGGACCTGTCAGTACAGAGAGCGAGAGTTTGCATTAACATGGAGTTTGGATGTAAACCAGACCCTGGAGCCTCCTTCCACTATACACAACATTATAACAATGTGACAGTCTCAACGCTCTGTAACACTGCAGCAGATGTGTTGTGTTTCACAGCCACTATTGTGGTCAGCCACCTTCACTAGCTACCTGGCTAACAAACAACATGAACAAATACAATATGCTGTGAATTATGCAATTTTACCTTTAGCTTTCTATTTTAACAATGTATCTGTTACTTTAAACTAACATGTCATCTGTTTATCTTGAGATGTTAGCTAAAAGTAGGCTTTAATAGTTAGTCTTTTTTTGTTTTAACAGTTTATCCATTTATTATTCCTAACTTCACACTTGCTCAGTGTTACAGCTATTCTATTCTGTTTTATTTATTAGTTGCATTAATCCACAGTCTTTCCATATATCCTCGGGCAACTGCAGGAATACCCCTGGGGAATCACTGATCTACCCTATCTTGGCTGGACACACAAAACAGAGGTGCAGAGGTCAGAGTGGATGCAATGCAAGAGGATGTCAAACACATTCATGAAATAAAAAACATGACCAAGCCAAGATGTTAAAAGGTGAAGTAAATTTTTATTCTGTAAATGGTTTAGGGTCATGTGGAGAGGGGGCATACTGGCATCTGTCACGCTGACAGCTCCTGGGGAGCAGGGCAACACTGTGGCTTCCTTCTTTCAGCTGATTTTGGAATCATTTATGTGTTGTGATGTGTTTTCCCTTTTATATGCAAGTGCAAGCTTGTCTTGCAATAGTGATTTGCATGTGTGTTGATAACAGAAAAAAATATATTATAAGATATTATTTATATTTTTTATCTCTCTCTCTCTCTCTCTCTCTCTCTCTCTTTTTTTTTTTTTTTACCAGCGTAGTAAAATAAAATAGCCTGATAAATTATAAATTCTGTGAAGATGGAGGCTTACTAGTTGGATGAGGAGGAAGATCACCCTCAAGCGGAGAGGTTTAAGGTTCAAAGCCTGAGTAGGCAAGAATTTCCATCCTCAGTGCAAACAGCAGCCAGAGAAATGAGAGTTTTCCTGCAGGGATCAATAAAGAATCACATTAATATACAGTAGCAGCTAATATTGTGTTTATTAGACTCAAACACAACAGACACATGATTCGTCCTGATTATTTCCTTTGCTTGGTGCTCTGGTAGGAAATAGTAACAAACCTGTGAAACAAACCTCATCTGTTATTAAGATTCAAGACAGATGAATATTAACTTCAGGTCAAAGTCATCAAGGATCATGGACACAGCATGAACCAGCTTCCAACAATGTTTTGATAAGCATCTTCTTGACCTTACAGCACCACTGTTGTGTCAGTGGAATAAGCTCTGTCTGTAATCAGCAGCCTTAACCATTCGCTGCTCATAATGAGATGTGGGTATGAAGGAGGTCATGAGACGTCCTTGGAGTTGTTCCTCCAGCTGCAGGTGTGTCATACAGGTTCATTATCCCACAGTCGATTCTTTATGGGCCTTATCTGGGCGAGCAGCCAGAAAGTCTGCAAATTACGAGCGCTCTTGCTGTCACACTGACACATAACCACATGCTTTGATCAAAATCAATGTCAGCCTGTGTGCATGCAAGCATACATAAACATGCATGTGCCTGTATGTACATGCACTATAGTGTCAATATGGCTATGACAAAAAGTGACATCCAGTAGCAGAGAGGTAGGGAACGCTTTCTGCCCTTCTGTGTGCACCACAAATTGCGCTCCTTATAGAAAAGCATTGATTTAAAAAAGGTCAGAGCCTGGTGAGAGCAGAATAGACAGCGTATTGACAATCCAGTTAAAATGACTTGTGAAAAGTGCAGTTGATGACCAGAGAAACAACACAAGGAAAAGGCTACTCCTATTTTGTATCCAACTTACTGCAGCACTTAGAGATACGTCGCTTTTCACAGCACACTGTATTTATAATTTTTTTCTTCCACTTAAGTGCTGAGAGCTACAATTGTAGGCTGTAATTTCCACAAGCTAAGTACAGGCAGTGTATCATATCTGAATGTTTTATACATAAATGTTGAAATGAAAATACATTGAGCTCTTCGGACATTTAAGCTCAGCAGCTTTTTCTCTATTGACATGACCATTAAAATCCCAGTGGTACTGGCACAAACAGTTTGCATTTTTCACTCTCCTTACTGGGAGCCAAATATGTCATTTATGGAGAGATTAAGGAGCATTTAAGACAGAATGAAATCACTTTGAGCCACAGTATCTTTATTACTGGAGCCACACGGGCCCTGAGCAGACATCAGCCTCTGTCACAACCATCATTCAAATGCTGTTATTTCCCCCCATGCGCTCAGATACACACACAAGACCCCCATATGCACCCTGCTCTTCATTAGTCATCCATACCTCTCTGTCTTTTGCTGGTTTGCTCTCTGTCTCTCTTTCTAAGCATCTGGACATGCTTATTCTTTTACAAAAAGACTTGCGTGATATCTTTTGTAGTGGGAGTTTTTATGACATCTCTCCCCGGCATTTGTTTCCAGCATGAGTTCACTCACAGATTATTTATTTTGTTTTCCACTGATCCTAATAAGGGGCTTTCATTGGCAACATCAAAAGCCCAGCTGGCGGAGCTGCATCTCTGGTAGAGCTCCTCAAGGTAAATGTAACTCAAACTTAGCACCGTCAGCAGTATCACACACACACACACACACACACACACACACACACACACTGAGCACCAGTGAATCTCAACAAGTATTCCATATATCAGCAAATAAACTTCAATAACAGCAATACAGTTAAAGCACCATGTGCATGTATTATGAGGGCTGGAGTCCTCTCTTAACTGTCAGCAGGATCTAAATCATGGGTTTACATCTTTACAATAATTAAATGCTCAATTGATCTCATCCTTTATTGCCCTATTGGGTGGAAAACACACTCCATGAGGGCATATGGTGATTGCTTAACTGCTGTGATACCGCAAAGGGTAATTAGGCATTTTACTATCTGAGGTAATAGGCATTAGAAATTTCTAATTTTAAGAAGCGTCTAGCTTATGAAATTCTGGGGCTATTTTGAGCTTTTCTTCATTATGTGCAATTAAGCAGTCATATGAGCTTTGGTGAGGGAGAGGGCTCATCTACAGAGAGAGAAAATGAGAACTAACACAGTGTCGAGCATGAGGCGAGTAACAACAGGCTACTACTGTGGCTCCTCAGTGGGTAAATAACTGAATAGTCAGTCTGTTTGTGATACAGTCTTGCTCTTACTGAGCCTAATAAAAGGCTGTGGTGGAAGAAATACTCAGATCCTATAATAGAGTAACAGTACCAATAC